AGCAGGGGCTGCTGCTGCCACATCGGGTGCGCTGGCGAACCCCAAGTGCCCCACGCAGCGCATCCCACGGCATCCCCGCGCACGCTGGGACAACGGGTGGGACAGGGAGGTGGCCGGGACGCTCTAGGGACCCTGTTAAATATGGGGCAAAGTCACTTTTCCAAATTGGGGCTGATTTCTCCCCAGCCCAAAACATGCTTAGCGTAGCACTTTGCTCTGGGGCTAGGAAATATTGCAGCAGAGTCATAGGAAATGATCAACCACGAAGCCACCTGGAAGCAGCTGATATAAAAATTAACTTAAAATCCACTAGTGAATGCAGAAAAACCCTCCAGAGGACTTTGAACCTATGGTTTGTTGGAAACTCATCACTGGAATTTGGGGCAATTGCTTTTCTGTCGGGTGACCAGCAGCCATGAACTGAAAACTGCAGATTATGTGGATGCACCTACTAAGAAGGCCAACGGCATCCTGGCCTGTATCAGAACTAGTGTGGCCAGCAGGAGTAGGGAAGCGATCGTCCCCCTGTACTCAGCACTGGTGAGGCCGCACCTCGAATACTGTGTTCAGTTTTGGGCCCCTCACTACAAGAAAGACATTGAGGTGCTGGAGCGTGTCCAGAGAAGGGCAACGAGGCTGGTGAGGGGTCTGGAGCACAAGTCTTATGAGGAGCAGCTGAGGGAACTGGGGTTGTTTAGCCTGGAGAAAAGGAGGCTCAGGGGAGACCTTATCACGCTCTACAACTACCTGAAAGGAGGCTGTAGCAAGGTGGGTGTCGGTCTCTTCTCTCAAGTGACAAGCGATAGGACAAGAGGAAACATCCTCAAGTTGTGCCAGGGGAGGTTTACATGGCATATTGGGAAAAATTTCTTCACTGAAAGGGTTGTCAAGCATCAGAACAGGCTGCCCAGGGAAGTGGTTGAGTCACCATCCCTGGAGGTATTTAAAAGACGTGTAGATGTGGTGCTTAGGGACATGGTTTAGTGCTGGACTTGGCAGTGCTAGGTTAACCGTTGGACTCGATGATCTTAAGGGTCTTTTCCAACCTAAATGATTCTATGATTCTACTTTCTACACACGCACAGAAGGCTGATGCAGTTCATAGATGCACGTGCGCGTGCGCACATAAAAACTGGTGCTTTTGGTGACTCCCAACTCTGGCCTCCCCCTGTATCTAGCAAGGAATATGCATTTCATTCAGGTGGGGAAGAGTCAAAGCACCGTGTGATGGATTGGGCTGCCTGCACATGAGAAGAAAGGACTGAGCGAGACAGTGGGCTGCCTTTCATTGCCATTACTAGGCTGCCTTTCATTGCCATTACTATTACGGGATCTTTGCATCAGGCATTGCACAGGCACACAGAGGAGCCTTTGTGCTGCTTAACTTTAGGCACCTGGCTTAAGTCACTGAATTCGGTATTTGGTTCCCCCATGGCTCTTCGTTCAGTCTTTGGAGCAGGCTGTCTCTCCCCATTAAGCCGTTCAAAGCATCTTAATTAGGGCTTTGCCCTGAATCTAAGGTTTCTGAGCAGCTGTAGAGGCAGTGGTGCATGTTCTGTGAAGGCTGAGAGGTAGTCTGGGAGAGCCAAGAAGAAGGCTTGTGGCAGCAGGACCGGGAGTGCCCTGATTTATAACTGTTTTTCTTGCCACTGATGGATATAGTCTAAAGAGAGCCGCCTCTCACCCAGGAGGCTGTAGTATCAATATCCCACGTGAGCAATTCCTTCTCCAATGTATCTGCTATCTAAATCTATTCCCCTTAGGAAAGGCTGTGCCTCTTTCTTTGCAGTTCAAGGCAGAAACTTTCATCTTACAGAAATCGAAATGAAAGGTAAGTGACTGGAAGAAGGTCCCCTGCCTGCTCCCTGGTGAGTGCTGGACTCACCGTCCCCACAAATGTGCTCATGGCACTTCAGGGCACGTGAGAAACTCCTGCGACCCAGAAGCTACAGAGCCGCCCCTGGCAATCCTGTCCACCTTATCCCAGCACCCTGTGCCCATCCAAGCAGCATCTGCCAGCAGAGAGGTTGCCTCTGCCAATGACACACGGGGCAGCCACAGCAAGTTAATGCTGATGAGGTCCTTCGAATGTTTTTAGCTTGCTGAGCCATGTTTCTGAGCCATCCTTCCCCTGCTAGCAGTGCACCTCCACAGGCTCCAGCTCCGCGACTCCTGCTGCTGTCTGCAAACTGTAGGAAGAGATGACGAGTCCACCTCAGCCAGCATCCCTGAGCCCTGCTATGCACAGTGCGACAGGAGATGCTCCACTGAGCGGAGCCTTTCCCTGCCCATGGGCCCATTTACAGATGCTGCTCTTCTGTTTAAAAGCTCCGCCTGTTTCACCCTGACCCCAGCAGTGCACCGGCACCTCTGTGCTCTTTCCTTGCTGATGGCTGTTTAGGAAGGGTCATGTCACAGCCGGTATGACGTGTCTCTCTATGCCTGCTTGCTGGGCCTTGGCAAGAGCCAGGAAGGCAGGAAGCCTTGAGGGTCTCGTGCCACAACCACCTGCCATCGCTCAGTCTGCCTCTGTTACCCTGTCAGCTTGTGACTGTTTAGGAAATAACAAAATTGATCTCAATTGTGATTCAGCTGCCTGGTTTAAAAAAAATAAAGGGAAAAAAAAGGGCTTTGTTAGCTACGGCAGAGGGGGATTAAGCCAGGCTCTCTGGGAGAAGAGTGCTGACTGTTGTTGTGGAAGTTTCCCCACAGCCTTGTGTTGGTGTTAGTAGCTGGGCTCTGCGGGGAACCTCTTGCTCTGAGTTTTGATACCAGGGGCAGTTATTAGAAATAATGAGTATTCGAAAGTACTGCAAGAGGGAAAACCCACAGGTGTCCTTGGCCCAGAGTAACCAGACTGTGTGACCCGTGGAGATGGAGTGGTGCCACATCTGTGCGGGGACATTCTTGTGGCACAGTGGGGAGCAGCAGTCAGGGGCCCTAGGTCTCCGAGTAGCCTGTGCTGCAGGTTTTGAGGAGGTGAGGGAGCACCCACACCTGCACATGACCTCCACAGGTCCGGAAGAAGCTCCAGATAAGTCTTCCTCAAGTCCAGCAGTCATGAGGGCTGTGCAGAAGCGCTCTCCTCCTGAGCAATGTTACTCTCCTGAGCCCAGAAACCAGGCCTGTCTCTTACCTTATCCAGTTTTTCATGGGTGCCTTCTACTTGGCCTCTACCTCTAGCTATGCACTACTGAAACTGCAGGTGCTGCTGTCACCCCAAGGTCTGCTCTTACAGCCAGGGCAGCAAAGCTGTAGATGTCCAGTTGTGGGGCATCAAATGCATCAGTGTAAGCTGCATCCTGATTGCTGGCCTTGTGCTGCAGAAAGTGATCTCATCCTTGGGGGACTCCTAGGAGACAGGAAAAAACACCAT